GGTCCTGGTTTAACCAGGGCACAAGATAAGGAGGCGTGTCTGACCTACAGTCCTGAGCCGGGAGGGTCCCGTAAGCAGGGAGAAATCCACAGCCTCAGCATCCCACTGGCTCCTGCATTTTCCTGGCTTCCCACAGCACTACTGCACAGGTTATTCCTCCTTGTTTCTGCTGGGGAATGTGCAACAGCTTTTACCAGCATCGCCCTCTGCCGTGCCTCCAAGCAGGCACCATCCAGGTGCTGAGAAATGTGTCGTCATCCCGAGTTTAACTTTGAGTTTGCATTTGGAAGTACCAATTTAATACTCTTTTTTTTTCCAAAAATTAATTTTAAAAATTTCTTCCCGGTCAGCAAAGAAAAACTATATTTGTGCTGACCCAAATTCCTGAGGAGTTACCTATAATAATATATAATATAGCATAATGCCTAAATTAGCTACAACACACAGAACTGGCAAGCACCTGTGGGAGAACAGGAATGCCCAAGTAATTGTCAGATACAACCAGTGGAAAAGGTGCCAGCACTCCACAAGAAAGGAGAATCCCAGCAGATGAAGCTTTGCCCAGCCTAACTCAGCTGTGGAGCCTCAGAGGAGCACAGGGGTCTCATGGCAGTAAGAGGTGCAAGGACAGCTGTGGAAAATCTGTTCTTCTTCATCCTCCCTGCATCCTTCTGAGCATCTTAATTCTTCTACCAGCAAGAGCTGTGGTGAGTGAAGAGGGTGGTTGACATGAAATAGATTATTGTCCAGGGATTCAGAAAGAAAGCAGTAGGTATGAGTATGAGGAATCTGGTCAGGAATTAAATTTTACAAAGAGCAATATCAGATATAAGAAGGTAACATGTGTGAAATTCATATTTGAAGATTATGAAGATTCAAAAAAGTCTTAAACATGAGAGTTCTCCTCCTTTACTAACATTTTTAAATTGCTTTTTTTAAGCAAAGAAACCCCTCCCCTAGCCCACCTTTATTCAAGGTCCAGAAGCAGAGATTCCACATGAGCATATGTTAGTTATAAAACAAGTTTTCCTAAAATTCACAAAAGAAAAATAGTACTGCAACTGGTCTCTTATAAAATACAAGAAAATATAAAAATGTTTTCAGCATCTGGAACTGCTCCACTCAGCCCCTTGGGGCTGCTCAGATATTCTGCTGCTATCGACTCCCCACTCAGGTCTAGTATTTCAGCAGAAAAAACAATGAAGTTGGGAAAACCTGCCAATATTAACTATAAACTCTGGAAAACGAAAAGCAGGTTTTTCTTTTCATCCAAGCTGTTACTCTTTTCAATTAGATGACTAATTGCATGACTATTCCTTTAAATTAGGTGACTTGGAACAAGAGCACTTTTAACCATGAAAAAAAAATCTCTTGATAGAGAGGTAACTCGGGTAACTGCACTTCCCACCTTTAAAATTTGGTATGACACAATTTCATCATACTCTACAGGTGACTAAATTAAAAACATTGATTAATTGAAGTTTATCTTCCCCATCAAGCTACAACCAGAGCAGCAATTCAGCTCCAGAGTACTGTTCTACTGGTAACAAGCCATGCTCTGGGGGGCAGAATAATTTGTTTCCTATACTAAACTGGCTGTATTTATATATATGTATATATTAAATGGTTATATATACTCATATATATTTATTTTTATATGTATGTGTGCACTTATGTGCATATATAAAATATATGTGTGTATAAAAGCTCAGTACCTTTTTCTTTTGCCCCTGGTGCTCATTTCACAGGACCAGCTGCCCTGCTGATGTTAACAGCATTGTAGCATCATAAATCAAGAAAGAATGTGTCCTCCCCTCGGTCTGTGGGCCACACTTGGGGACGTGTAAGAGCAGTGCCAGGGCAGCAGGAGCTCTGTGAGCCACCCAAGAAGCTGGGTTAGTGCAGACACAGCTCCTTCAGACTCAGAGCTGCCCCTGCAAGGGCCGAGCCATTTGAGCTGTTAATTTAAAACCAGCTTGGTGTGTTTGTGGGAGCTGTGAATACCCAATAAAAATACCACGTGGAGATGCCCAGGGACGCTCCTGCGCTGCTGCCAGCACCAGTTACCTGGCAAGGTGTTTTCTTGTGCTGTGGAGATCTCCTGCTAGATAAGTAAAACTCTGGTCTGCACCGAGACTTTCTGCAAACTTCAGCTGCATCTGGGCTTGCCTGGCCACAAAAGGTGGGGTCCCCATCAGCCAGATGAATTTATTACTCTGTAACTCACAGTTCAGGTTTTCAGCTGAGATGGCTGGCAGAAAATTCAGGCAAAATTGCAAGTAAAAACTTCTGATTTTCCAACTGGAGAGATCCAGAGCCTTGTTAAAACAAATTTCATAGAACATAGGTTCTATGAAATCTAGAATTCATAAACATACCCCTGCCATTTGTAAAATTCTACAGTAACTACCTGTAAAAAAAACTCATCTGTAATATGGAAAGGAGCATGGTTGACAAAGGACTTGCAATGTCTTGGGCTGATTCAAGAGTCTCCTTGCTTAACAAAGGTTACTTTTACTTAACAGTGTTCTACAGAACAAGAAGGCATTTGGAAGTCTCTCACTTAGAATTCAATGGCAGGAATTGGTGTTATAGAAACACATTTCTATTACCAGACGTTTAATTTTAAACCCTTGCATTCATGAAGTATTTACTGCCACAGCACACAAGACATAAGTGCACTTTTCCAAATATAATCCCCCATCTGATCTACAATTCATTTTTTATAAACTCTGTAAGTGCTGTTGTAATGCTGTTCAACAACCTTATTTTCAAATTGAATCAAACTCTGTACTACCATCCAGAAATAGTTTTGTGATCTCCACTGTCCTGCTGTCAAGAGATCACCGAGTTCATCTGAGCTGAAATACCATGTCACAAACTTATGTGAAAAATATCTTCCGTGTGCTTTCTCCATATAGAATCCAGGCTGGATGATTTCTCTCTCTGTGTAAAGAGGTGTATATAAAACATAAAAGATTTTCTGGACAAAATTTGGGTTTATGAAAAGTCTTTGTTTCCCTGTTCGCATCCCCTGGACGAGGCCATTAGAAATGTCTCTACCAATATTCTGTGACAAAGCTAAAAACCTCCAGTTTCTCTTGCTGAACCTCTTCCCTGAAAGTGCTAATGGGTAACAAAGCAGAGACTAATTGAAATTGATTTTTGCTGAAGCAATTTTTACATCTACGAATTTTTCTAGGAAGAAAACAAAGAAATCATTGGCAAACAGCGCTTGAGCAGCAGTCAGGGATGGCTGGGAAACCACAGACAGGAGAAGGAAAAAATGGGTTTATGTTTTGAACAAATTATCGTTTCCTAAAGAGAAACAAGCTGGAAATCAATAGCATTAAATCAAACAGTGGCAACCAGTCCAAAATGTTTTCCAGGCTAAGGTGGTCTAAGTGTCACTGATGTGGGACCCTTTCAAGTAATGTAATTTTTCCTAATATCTTCCAACTTCCCCTGGCACAACTTGAGGCCATTTCCTCTTGCACCATCACTTGTTACTTGGGAAAAGAGTCCAACCTTGCAGCTACAAACAAAATTAGAAAATTGATGGGGTTTAAGTAAGTTCCACTAATAAATTATTATCTGCTCACTCATTAAATAATACTGTAAAATAGTATTTGTTAGCACTCTAGGGAATGACAAAGTCCAAACAGGCGTTGCTTCCAGGCATTGCTGCCACATCAAGAGTGGAAGCAACGCTTGGAAAGGGTAATATCTGCACATCAGCTACAAGGGGTGATGGAAAATACACTCAAAAGGATGCCCAAATAGTTCATGCCTACAGCTGATCCTTATTCAGCAGTCTAAGTCACATTTAATCACACTGAATCACCTGTGTTAAAAAATACACAGTTTCCCTGTGTGGCTGCTGTGCTTTTTATCAACACAACTGAAGTCTCTTGTACTGGGGATCCAGTTCAGAGCAGCTCTGCGTGTTGTACAGGCTGAAGCTTTGTAGTGTAACTCCACAGCTGGCTCCCTCCTGAAAATGTCCCCACTCCCTGCACTGCCTCATTCTCCTTGCAACTACAAGGAAATAATGGCATTTAAAGAAAGAGAGAGAAAATCAAGTGCCTGAGTGCCTGCAGGAGTATTTTTGGTTGGCATTTAGCTGCTGCTGGCTCCCGATGCCCACAGAGAGTGACAAGTGTAACTTTAAAATCATAAGAGAACAAACACAAAATCTTTTCCTGGCAAGCTGTCAAAAAAACCAAACACTACTGTACTGCACAGTAGAGTTTTATTCTGGGTGGGCCCTGGATACAAGCACAGAAAAACTGAACAGTATCAATTTCAAAAAGAGCTAAGAGAATCACAACTTCATTTAATAGAAAAGAGCTGTGAGAAGAAAAGGAAAAATGCCTCCTGACTGCTCAGAATTTCTTTCTAATAATTGGGAATTTTTACAGCAACATAATCTAAAACCAGTAATAACCCCCATATAGCCAGGTTTGATAGTGCTACAGAAAAAGGTCCTATCTTTTGAATATTTAGGTTACTAGCATGGATTCAGCTATTGAATGGAAATTAGGTCTAAGACCAACAAACACCACTGGAAGTTAGCACCATCCACCCAGGGCTGGGTGAGTTTTTAAAAATCTCCTCTGTGACCAAATGGTCAATTACTGTCTCAGAAACTATAATATTAAACCCATTTCAATGAGGAGATTCTATACCATTAACAAAAAATTAAGGTCCTGCCACAACACAGCTCAGAGTGAGCTATGCAGTGAATGCAAACCAAGTTTCATTTCTCTCTTAAGGGGATGCATTTTTCCACTCATGTGTGTTTTTAAAATATTAAAAATATAAAATATGAAAGACAGATCCTTAGTGTAAAATTAACAGTCACTACATAACCAGTTTGTTTAAAGAATTTAGACAGCTCAAGTTTGTGCAGGCAATGTATGTTTTCAACGAAAAGAAAGCACCAAATATTAATTAAATCAGAAGATGAATTAACTTCAAACTTCTCTAGCCAAGTCCTGCTTCAGCTGGGATAAAACCAAGGAGGCACTAACAAAAAGTACTACACATCCAACTAAGAAACCAGGGGGTTTGTTGAGTTCCAAATGAATTAACAAAAGAAAGCATAAAATGGTTTTGTGTATTTTCCTTTTGCAGGGAAGTTGAGGTTTTGGTAACTTAGGTCAACTACACCTTTTAAAAAACCTCCAAAGAACGAAGTTATATTGTGCTTCCAGAAGTCCCTGCCCTGTGAAGATGTAAAGCTCACACAGGTAAAACCAAAGTCATGAGCACACCTGCCCTGTGCCAAAACCCATCTAGTGATGGAGCTGAAACACCTGCACAGCCAGGCTGTCAGGGCAGGACAGTGAGCAGGGTCCAGCACCTCTGGGCAGCTCCACGTGGACACCAGAGCCTGCACAGGAAACAACAGACACAACTGGTTATGGATCCACAGCCCATGACTTCCCACCCTTACTCATTAATTACAGCTACACAGCCTGTATTTAATTACCTTTTACAAGCAGGAGGCTCAATTAGATGAGTAAGGATGCTGTACAATAACGCTCCATTTATGCAGATTCTGTTATTATAAATCAGAAAATTAAAAACGGAGATAGTGCTTATGACTCTTGATTAAGGCTTTGTACCAAGAGACAGCCAGACAGCCATTCCTGCTCAATCTCATCCCCAGGCAGATCAGGTCCAGCACTCTCCTCAATCCTGTGTGGGTCAATACCAATCCAGCAGAATGCCAGTGACCACTTGTTGGAGTCAGAGGCACAGAAAGCATGCCCTTATCTCTGATACCTGTCTCTAACATCCAAGAAAACACTGAATTTCATATCACACAGTGAAAACAACTGTTAAAGTTAAATAGAAAAACTGGGAGTGTAAGTGTGTAAATTAGAAAGTTTCTTAAGTCACTGGGTGAAAAAGTTGAAGTTTGGAGTTTAAACTGGTTTAGAGAACAGAAAACAACAAGATGGAGGATTCAGGGTATTGTCTCTTGTCCTTCTTTCTTCTTCTTCTTCTTCTAGAGGTTTTTGGGTAGTAGTAGGTGATTGGATAGAGAATGCCACAATGGGTGATGGGTCACTGAGTCACTAAGAAAAATAATTTACTTGCCATTTGTTAATTGGGTAAATAGAAATATAAAAGACCTTGAAGAAGATCTTTGTTAGCCATTTTGCACCTTTCTATCTTAGTGCACATAGCTCCTTGTACTCTGTAAATATGTAATATAGATAAAAGAAGAATAAACAACCAAGTCCAAACAAGAGAAAACTGCCTCTCTCTCATCAGTCTCAGTCCAAGGGGAAAAGAACCCAACCACAAATGTCCTATCAAGACAGCCACTGGCCCCACAGGCATTGGCATCCAGATGGAAGAGCAAGTTCTGTGACATGTGAACACTGCAGATCCCACTGACAGGAACAACCAGTCCATCCTCTGCTGCGAAGTTGCCACTGTGGCCCAAACCCAAGCCTACAGAAGACAGGGCTTGCTTGCTCTCCTCAGTGCTGCCACCCAGCAACATCCAGGAACCTCAGGTTCAATCTCCTCTTCAGCCATACGACAAAGAAACAAGATACTGAAATATGGAGAAATCTCAGGGAAATTCTGGTTTCTTCCTTCACGTGCATCAAGTTTAATGGTTTTAAAAAATACATATTTTTCTGTATTTTACATGTAATGCTTTTAAGGTCTGCCTGAATTCAGATTTTTTTTTGATCCAAGCTTTGACAGTCGTTTGGAGCATGTCTACCATGGCGCCACTACCAAGCAGACTCTTTCTAATCTAAGTTTAAGAAAATAAAGCACTTTTTTTTTCTAAGCAGAAAAACAAAGGAACTTAATATTTACCATATGATGGTATCAAATGAAGAGAGGGGAAAAAAACCCCTGACTATGCATTGATTCCCTTTCTGGAAAATTAGGCAAGGAGCATGGGACATTTTAGGAGAGAGGAAAACAAGTCTTTCCCCAAAAGGCAATAACTGGGATGTACACGGGGTCAGGGTTACACAACCCCGGCAAGCCGTGATTGATTTTCCCTCCAGCCAGGGAGGGCTGAGCGTCCCAGAATGCCTCCATCCCCTTCTCCAGCTCACCTTCTCCAGCCAAAGCCTCAGGGAACAGCAGGAACGATGAATGGTGCTACTGTTTGAGTTTTAATTGGTGAGAAAAACCTTATTCCCATTATTTTTTTTCTTTCGGTTTTCAGTTACAAGCACCACCAGCAAGTGAAAAAACATAACAAAAAAAAAAACCCAACAAAACCCGCAACAACCTGATGACTTGACATTCTTTAAAAGAGCTTTAGTTAAAAGTTAGGCAGCGAAACCAGTGCTGTGATACAGAGCATATTTCCTCATTCAAGCACCGGGCTCAAATGGGCGTTTCGCAGTTCTGAACTGGACCTGCAGGTTACTCCTGAAAAAATATTATATCAGAAAAGCTTTGGTAATTTGATTTTGAATTTTCAAGTAAGCCTGTTTTCCTCCCCGCTACAAAGAGAGCATCCACATCTGAAAGAAGTTATTTTCCACCCACGTAGGGATTCCACCCGTAATAAAAGGTCACTTATTACCCCACTTTGTGAATACAAAAGAAACCTCCAGCTGAATGGGGTCTCCACCGAGGGGAACAGATGGGCCAAGCGTGTAACACAGCACTGCTGTATTGACTGGTGATGGAACCGAAATCGCATCGCCATGGCAACCCCTGCGCTGCCTCCTCCCTCAAGACAACAAGAAATAGCTCACGAGAGGTATTTTAGGAAACCCATAAGAAGAGAAAAACTGTGTTTCTTCCTTTCCAGTTATTTAAAATGTACCTACAAAAGGTGCTTTCAAGAAATGGGTGGATGGCATTTGCTTCCACAAAGTGAAAAATCTTAGCCTGAGCTGTAGAGACTTGCAGTAAATGCTGGGCCCTGATCAGCCTTCTAAAATGTTAACTCCAAACTTTATAGCCCTTCCACTGAAAATCTTTATGCTGATTTTCTGGTGTATCTACTTGGGGGTTTTATTTTCCTAATAACAGAATGAGAGCTGTCTGAAGCAAGGTCTAATGAAATCCAGGCTGTTTCTTCTGTGCAAAAGACCAGAGGTTACACCTACCTGCAATGCTCACATGGTTTTTGGTATTGCTATTGCATTTAATAAATGCAATACAAATGCTGAGAACCACTTTTGCTTTGCAAAAATCCCTTTATAAGACTGCATTAAAAAAAAAAAAAAAAAAAAAAAAGCAACAAGACCAAACTCCCCAGTGTGAGGGAGGGAATGGAAAGTGGGTGGGTGCCAGTGAACTCCTGACTTCTTTCAAGCAGGATATCCCCAAGCTTTCAAACAATAATAAACACTTCATTCTCCAAATACAGTTCTCTGAAGTACTTGTTTCCATCCAATTGAAATTAATTGGGGTTTAATTTTCAGGAGAAGATTCCATCTCTAATTTCAGACTTGGTTACAGTAATAGACATCAGAGACATTAAAACTGTGAGATATCATTTACAAAAGGACAGATCTCCAAATGTAAACTGCTTATTAAGCGGTCCTAGTGAAACTCCTGCACAAAGCTTATGAAATTAATAAACATATTTGATTTTCTTATCATTACCTCAAAACACCAAGAACATAACCCAAAGCAGTTCCAGCTGTTTCATGTATACTTGAATGATTTTGGAAACTTTCATTTCTGATGCACCCCTGAAGGGCCCCACTTGGATTATAAATGTTTTTGTTTTGGTTGGCAGAAGCCCCTGTACAATCTTTGATTTAATATCAGCTTTAAAGCAATAATAAAAATAATAATCTCACTCACATGCCAAACCACCCATGCTGCCGTGGACCCCAGGGGAGGGACTGGCTGTGGGAATTCTGCTCATCTGTTCCCATTGTGGTTTTTTTACTCTGCAAATTTGAAGATGCTGCAAAGGAGATTTCCTTGCTCCAGCATCTGGGCAGCTGAATTCAGTAGCTTTCCACAAGTAAGTAATCCCAGCACTGGCACAGTAGGTTGTGTGCAGCTGCTGCAGTTCAGTGTAAAAGACAAGCCAAGCTACATGTGACTTCTGAATATTAAAGATTTTTGGGGAATAATCATGAACCTTCCCGAAGTTAGGTACAGCAGGCAGCAAAAGCAATATAAATGCCTTGGCTGCTCACTTTTTTAATTGTTAAATTCTGAAACTCAGTGGGGTTTTATCCTCACATCTACAAATTGGCAGTATTTAAAATCCAAGTGATTTTTGTAGGCTTTTCCTTGCTTCTTTTTTCTTAAGGCATTATGGTTCTCCTTCAAAAAGTCCAAAAATGGCAGAAAATCTCCCTGCGGCCCTTTTCTCCTGCTTGCCACTGCACAGCTCACTCACTCTCTTTCACCTTTCTTGTTTCTTATTTACAACATACACTTCAGCTCAAAGCATTTCCACTCCTTCCCACGCAGAACCCACTGGATGATGCTCCTCCACCGAGAGCTCCTCTGCAGGGAGCTGCAGGTGACAGGACCTTTACTTTCTACTGCTAAAAATCACACGGTTCCATCCCCAAACTCCTGCACACTCATCCCATTTTCTCTAGGCTGTGTTAGTCATCCTGTCCACACCTCTCTGCACTGATAAACTGAGGGATTACTCTTGGGGTTAAACAGTATCACCTCCTATCTAGTTTAAATTTGTCTGATTTATGATACCTTGGACAATTATTTGTTTTCATCTTGGATTAGGCAAGTATCTCCTGTCTCAAATGGCATGGTCTTTAAATCATCCTTGTGCAGCTTCTCCAAAATTTTCCCCGCCTGACGGAGGGACCCAGCTCTCAGTTCCCCTGGAGCAGCAATTCCCCGCGCTTGAAATGGGAATGATACCTCATTTTGGCCATGGCTCTGCAAAGGCAGCTCTGGAAGTCCATGTTCACCTACAGAGCTGACTCACCACTGCAAGTTTGACATGCAGCTTTTGATTTTCTGCATCTGACTTCATCCTCCAATTTATTAAATCATATATTAAAATAACCCCATAAAACCAGGTGATCCAGAGCTATCTGTGCCTGTGACTTCCTGTCTTCAGTAATCTCCATCTTTGTCTCAACAACAAACATCAGTGATGTCTTTACAATTTTTTTTCCACATCATGGATAAAAATGTCAGCAACGATTAAGACAAAAAATTCTCTACAGGACTCTGGTACAAACTGCCCATTTTTAGTCCACTTCATCTTTAGTGTTCATTTTGCATCACTCTGGTTTTCTACTTAATATGTTGTACCAAACCAAATGTCATAGAGAAACCTAGATTAAATCAACACTATCACCCTCATTAAAAATAATCCCACAAAAAGATCCCGAAGTTTAACAATTTATATACTATAAATCTGTGCAGACAACTTAATTTTCTACAGTTTCAACCCACACTGTGTTTTCTAAAAACATAGCAAGCAAACTATGACTAGAGGCAAAAAGAAGTTGTAATCAGCAGAAAGTAGTTTACACCACACCAAAACTTTACAACCTTTTGAAGCTAAACCTGAGTTAAACTGGGCACCACTGAAACCAGGTGTCTTGAGTTGCAGCAATAGCATCATTTCAAGAACATCTACCTCAATCACTAAGGCCCCTGATGAACCATTCACATTCCTGTCACTGCAAACAGGAGCAAGATTCCTCATCTTCAAAAAATTATATTTTCAAAAAAGATATTTTCCTATCTTTATTCCTCAGATTCCACCTTACTAACTGAAAATTTAAAAAATGGGTTTGACTCCATGAAGGAAGAGAAAGAAACAATAATATTCCCAGAGCTGTGGTGACATAAAGATATTGGTACAATAGGAAACTCATTTTGTCACTATTTTGCACTGTGTAAATAGGAAACATAATTAATAAGGACAAGCATGTTAATTTTGGTTCCTTTCAAAACCTGCAGGCGAGGGGAGGAAGAGGGGGAATGACAATATTTGGCAATAGCAAGAAGAACAGTTGCAAATGAGACGTTTTTCATCTCTCTTAACCAGCTTTAGTAACAACTCAGAATAAAAATAAACTTATAAACACTTTCAAACCCTTTAGAGTGCTCCATTTAAATAGCATGTTTAATCTAAGTCATATGTACCATTACAACAATGTCTTTTTGCCCTCAATATGAATTAAGACTATTAAATATGTATGTGAAATACTAGCCCACGCTGGATTGTCTCCAGAACTAAATTCTCAATAGGAGGGGTGTTTTTTTTTCTTTTTTTTCATTTTTGGGGTTTTTTGGGGATTTTTTTTTTTCTGGTTTGGTTTTTTACTTACTTGAAGCCACAAAGATATTTAAAACTAGGTCAAGCATACAACACCCAACAAAAGTAAAAGGATCTGCAATTTCTTGGATTTTTTTTTTTTAAGTATCTCCTTTAAAATTTACCATTACCATTTCCTTTGTGAAAAAGACAAATACAGATTTCTATATCTCCCTGAAAACAAGCATCCACAAAAATAAGGTAACTACTAAAACACAGCTTTATTCTTGTCCTTGGGAAGCATTGCTGCTCTGACATTACATTTACTGTCAAGTAAAGCCACTCAAACTATATGTAATCTGAAGAGTAACTCACTGAGCAAAACCGAGAATTTTTAAGTAAGAGCAACCATTTATCAAATTTTTAGGAATAAATATGTATATATGTATGTATACACAGGATTCTGGTTTGCTATACATATGACTAAAATGGACCTACACAACAACCTGACATTGTCAGCAGCTCTCTCTTCATTTGCATTTATTGCTTCCCAAATTCTAACAGATGCCAAACTCAACTTGTATTATTTTTTTAAGAATAAAACATATTTAGAAAATTAAGGGAAGAAGGCATTACATTCCCCTCAGCAGTCTCTTAAGCCCCTGATGTGCTTGACCTTACCCATTTCCCCACCTGAGAGGGAAATCCTCTGCCCCAGACTGCTGCTCAGTGATGGGACAGCATCTTCTGCCAGCAAATTAAGGAACCATCCAGTTCAATTTCTAACAAACCCTCAGCAGCCACTCCTCCCTCCATCCCCATTCTAATAGTGGGTAGAAAACACACTGCTTTCCAGTCACTCCAAGGACCTCTACCCTTATTAAAAGTCACATTTTCACCTTGTAGTGTAACACTTATCATTATCTTTGCCAAAAACTGCTTGCTTCTGGTTATGACTCGTAGATTTCTAGCATTACAGCTTTTCAACGAACAGTGATTTACTTAACTAAAAGAACATTTATCAACACAAATACTAAACAAAGTGTGAATTTGAAATTTAAATTCCATCTCTCTGATAAAACGCTGCAGCCAGATCAAAGAAATCAAAGCAGCAGCGTTGCTGCAATGCACGAAAAACACCAGCTCCAACTGTGAGAGCTGTGGAAGTGAAGAACTGGGGTGCTTAGGAGAGGGACTAACAGCACCAAGAAATGAAACATGACAAGGAGGAGACCTGTGATCACTCAAGAAAGCACCTTCAGATGTAGATACCATAAAGACCTCATCAAATATGGCCATAGAGCTAAGGAAATACAGGATCAGATCTACAGAGCCTGGGCAGAGGAACCTCAGCAGTGAACCTTGATTTCAGTCAAGTCTACGATAAATGAACCAGAGAAGATCTCTGGTTGGTAGCAGGGCAAAGTAAATATGAAGAGTGATGAATAAACAAATGCCAGTCTACTAAACTGTCAATGCTGAACACCCATGAGTGGGTTTGGATCTGCACACCACGAATAACAACCAGGGGAACAGCAATAACCTGGGAAGAAGAAACAGCCAACAAAGGATTAAGAGAAAACCTCAGCATAAAATCTTTCAACAACTTTTGCTGAAAAGGAGAACAAGATAATCTGGTCTAACCCAGCCTCCTTCTCAAAACAGGACTCCAAAACGCAGTTTGTACAATACACTACCTCCTAATGATTTGGGAAATGGATATACTGGTCAAGAAATCCAGGGAATGCTGTGAAGCTACAGTATCACCAGTCATGGAATGGTGCTGCAACACAAGTAAACAGAAGACCAAATTCAAGCTGAGATCAAGATTTATTACCAGCAAGTGATGAAAACAGAAGATGCAAAGCCATTTGCAATGATTAAATAAACCAGTGTGGATTCCTTGAGGCGCTCGAGAAGTGCTGGCATTGAACAGGATGAAGGTGACATCCTCCTGATAGACCACCATGAGACCTGGTTGGATCAATGCAAAAAGAGATTTGCAAACAGACCTAGTAAATGAAATGAGGAGTTGGGCAAAAAAATGCTGAATTCCTCTCTAGGGCTTGACATCTTCAACCCTCAAAAATAAACCAGTTCTGTGAAAAAGCTAACAACAACAACAAAAAAAAAAGTGTGTTGACTTAGCAGTGCTCATTTTGAGCTGTGCATCCCTGGTGTTAAAAAAGGCAGAATTGTACCATGAAGAGACTGCATCAGTTTTCCTTTTCTCTCAGTTAGTGTGCCATACATTGAAATGAAAATTCATGTTTTCTACGGGATCAGGGGACAGCAATGCTGAAGCTGCCAGATGAGGATGGAGGCTTAGCACTGGGCCAGGTGAGAAGGCAGGGAACTGGAGTTTCCAAATTCAAGCAGTGATTTCCAAAGAGTGGACCTACATCCAAGACAAGTGCGGTTCAAAGGCTCCCATCAGACTGTTTCCACTGTGAGCACGTGGGAATTCAGTGCCTCGGTCCCCTCCTGCAGCCTGAGGGACCAGCAGGAGCCTCCTGCCACTGCCAGCTAAAAAAGCCTTTCATATTAGGATAACCGTCTGTCAGAGTCCTTTTGGGACAATGACAAATAATCACACTAAATTATGAATAAAAGAGGCAATGGCTTCTTTCTGGAAAAGCACCAAAACTGAGGGGAAAAGGCTCATGAAAGTACTTCTAATAGATCTCAGAAAAACTGTCTACAGCTTATCAGTGAACACATCTTGGCATGAAGAATGAATAATTCCAAGAGCATCTGATATCTTGATATAATTTACATATATATAAATGTGATGCAAATGTATATAAAGTGAATTTATAGAAACACAAATTTTTACTAGAAGGGCAGATAGCCAAGCTAAAAGGGAACAATGGACAAGATGTAAAATACAGTTGCTCTTCCTGTGCCTCTTGCAGGGGTTTTCCTGATTCATGATTAAAGTATAAAGCAACACACATATTTTATTCATCAAAATATATTTCTGATAAATCTTCAGTGACTTTCCATAGCAGTTCCACAACTCCTGAAATCACCTGGAGTTTTAACTAATATTTCCTCTCACTGCAACCTGGTTTGCTTAAAAAAATTACATTACAGTTACTCAACACTTCTTTAAGCAATGGAACCCAGGCAGAAATCTGTTCATTGGTATCCAAATCCCCATATAAAGCAATATTCAGTATTTCCTTGCAATTGGGCCCACAGTTTAAAAGCCCACACCACTATGGAAATATACAGGACAAGATACTTATTGCAACCCATCCAAAGTTTCTTGACTGTTGATTCTGTATCTGCTTCCCAGAGTCCTGCTGAACATTTACATAAGATGATTGCTTTTAATCTTTCTGTATTTGCTTCAGACATGCCCTGACAACCACTTAGAAAAGTGGTATTTTCCTGACAAAATGAATCATTTGTCTTCTACCACCAAGTTGCAGATCTTTGTTACAGAAATAGAAAGGCTAGAACATGCCCTAGGAAGTCTCTCTGCTTTGAAATTATAGGGAGCAGATATACTCAATTTAAAAATCCTGTGATAAAAAAAAAATAAATTAAAATTTAAAAAAAGTGGCACAATTTCCTGAAGCATAAACTCATAATGGGAACAACATACTGTGAAAAGTGGATTGCAAGAGGAAAAATACAGTGGAATTGCACAACTCCTTTCTAAGTCAAAGTACTGACACCATGTTCTGCTGAGAAAACCTTTTGTGCCTCTGATTTAATGATAAATTTCATGTGATTTCTCCTGGTTGGAGGAATGGAACAGAAAAAAACCCCAAAACACTGTCCTGACGTGTTAGTGTTAAACGTCTCCTTTAAGAAACAAACTTCGTGTCTTTGATTGTTACATAAAATTCTATTTTCAGCCTGAACAAGAGGGATAAAAAGAACAAGAAAATAACCACAATTATTCTCAAACCAAGAATCCATTAGAGGCCTAAAAACATGAAGGAGAAGTCCTTTTTAAGGAACAAAATATTTTGATTTCCAGCCCTATATTGCAGTTTTCACCACCTCTGCTTGGCAAACTGGTCAATGCTAAACTCCTACTCCCCCAATATATCTAGAACAGTCTCACCTTCCTCAAACTTGTGTCCTTTATGGTGTTAACCACTCCTGGCTTTTTCCAGCTCTGACTTTCCCAAGGCTATCACTTCCTAACTATTTTCTGACATGCCTTTCCTTCCCAGAAATGAGCCCTCCTCCAACATCCACACCCAGGTTAAGATCCTGTTCTTTCCTCTGCCCATCCTGTTCCTTGATCTGAGCAAACTCCATCACTCTTATGCTGACAGCTCACACTCTGAGTTTCTCCAGGATGAAACTAGTATTAATTTTGCAAAGATGCAGAACGTGCATTCAGTTACAACCAAAGCATCATTTTGCACTCCATCCTCCCTGGATACCTTAGCCATCTATAATCTTTCCCCTCAGCAGATGCCATCAGGCCACTGCTTTACAGCAGATCATCAACAGAAGTTTGTCCTCACTCTTCCTGAGCCTTTTTGGACAGATCTAAGTTGTGCTGTTTCTACTCTGCAAGTTACAAAACTGAGGAGGAGCAGCATCTTATGACCACAAAGTCATCTGCTTTTCCCCAATGGCCTTTATGATAACCACATTCCCCCACCAGGCTTTTGCCAAATACTTGGTATTTTCTTCCTTTATTCTTTTCATCATCTCTCTCTTTAAGCCCCTGCATTTGGCTTAAAGGCGACTCAGGCAGAACTGAAGGGGTTTTTTTTCCCCATTTGTGTGTTAAAGATGTAATTGCAGTTGCCCACCTACATTTTGTTTACTAAGGGTCCAGATCACCATTTTCCAGCTCACTGTATTTGCCTTCAAGCTTTGTAGCTTTTATAGACAGCATTATTCCTACATATGTCATCTTTTTTTTCCCCTTAACAAAAAATCGCCCACTGATGTCTCTTTGTTAGAATACAACAAATCATAATTATTAGTCAACAGTATAAATGTCCACTACAGGACAAAAGCAAATCTGGGGGTTTTCCTTCGCTGAAAAACCCTTTGGTTTAGAGTGGCTTCCTACTTGTAGCCTATTTCATCTCACAGTTGAAATACAGAGTGACCTCTCCATATGGCACTTTCAACATACAGAAAAAAGATACAGATGCACAAATGTTTTGTCTAAAGCATGGAGAAATTGGAAAGCATCCTTCAGTTCCAATTTATTGTCTTTGCACTAATACCGTAATTTAGAAAAATTAAAATGTTCCAAAGTTTGTGTTTGATAATAACTAACATTTCTAAAGCCGTTTTTCAGATGCTCCTTTTGAAAAAATGGACTATATACGTCTTCAGTATTAAGCAAAAGGTTCTTTTGTGAAGAAAAATACCAGTTACTGATGTCTATCCGACAATCAAATGTGCCCCTGTGTGGGCTGTACACACACATTCTCAGAACAGACCTGCTGATGACTGAGCTACTGCTTTCAGAGAAATTAATTTTTTTTCCTTCAAAATCCTTCAGAAAGTTGGGTGGTTTTATTAGGAATAAACCCAAAACATTTTAGATCATATAAATAAAGATCTCAAGTTATTTAACCAAAATAACACAGACATAATCACAGAGAGAACAGTCTTTTTTACTTTAATGAAAAGGACAAAGGTTCAATACCATAAATCTCAAACCCACATGGAGAAACAGCAGAATGAAGTTTACTAATATGTCCTAAAATCTGAGACATAGACTTGATCTAAAATAAAAACCCAACCCCTCAGATGTTTCTGCTTCATCCTCTGCATTCAAGAGCTGAAACCACGAGATGTACATAACCAACTATTCTGCAATATGTTGGTACCCCCAAGCACTTTACAGATTTAAAAGCATGAATTTACTATTTTTCTGGAGGCAAAAAAATAACATCATCTTCCCAAGGTGATGGGGAAAGGGGGCTGCACTCCCCCTCTTCATCAGGGAGTGCCCATCCCATACATCGCCTTTCTTCTGCAAGCACAAGTGTCCAACCTCACAACCAACCCATCCCCAGCAAGGGATGCACATCAGTCATCTCCCAACAGCTGGCTCTGAAAGGCCACAGCTGGATCTTTAATGTGAAGTGAATCTTTATGAGCAACAAGGACACGCTGCTCCCACCAACTCCATTTCCAGAGTGGCTGTGCTGAATGCTGTTCAGGCATTTCCTCCTCAACACAGAAAAAGCTTTTCTTGCAGGCTCTGGTGACAAACACAGGTAGGTGATGTTGGGCATGTGTAATTCAAACACAGAGACTGTTGGGAATATTAATCCAAGGGGCTCCACCTGCTCAAGAGCAGATGAGGCACCAGAATTCAGAAAGATCCATCAGGGCTTTACAAGCATCCAAAAACATGGCACCATCTCCTGGCCAGGACACAGCAACTTGGCTCCATCAGGAAAAGAAAAGCAAATACAATTAAACTTTGAAGAAAGCAGATTTGAACAATGCAAGTGGTTTGCCCATCCATCTTCCATGAAAGCAATGCCACTATATCTGTTTGAAGTTTCTCTGCAGCAGCTCCTTCAAACTGTAACTTTCTGCATGTGCTCTCTCCTTATCTCCAGATGTTAAAATCAAGTTAATTTCTCAGCAGAAATGCACAGATTGCTGTCCTTGGACCATGTGCACCACATCCCACACAAGCCTCGCTGATGCTACATGATCACCAACTAGAGGAAACAAAGCACTGCAAGGTAACAGAAACTGGAGGTGCATGTGGGACACAAGAAATGCTCCTTAGTAATAAACTCAGAATATCTGACAGAAAAAATTATGTGCCATTATGCCCCCTGGTCAGGGTATTTAGCTCTTTGTTTCCCCACAATGCTTTTCAAAGGGTTGATTCATCCCTTCCCCAGCTGCTCTCACAAATGCATCCTGTCCCATACTAAATTCAGTGTACTTAAGATGTGCTGCACTTCATCCACCAGAGCATCCAGTAGAGCGTCCATCTGCTCTATTCCCACTCTGATCCAGCTCCCACCTGGCTGGCACAAAATCTCATGGCAGAAGATGGGCATGGCAACCCGGGGCTCAGCTGGGAGCTTTCCACTGAGAGCCTGCCAACATTTCCTTGAATCCATTCTTCCCACTATGCTCTCCTGTACCCACAGCAACTGTGAAATCACTATTAATTATGCCCTTTTGCCTGACCCACTTATCTCAGAATTGCAGTAGCTGGGATGGGCTAAAAACAGAAAGACAAAAAAAGGAGGGAAGCTGCTCATTTTGCTTCCTGGACAACTCCTTTTAGAAAAGCCAACTCAGTTCTGATTTTCTCCACTATTTTTTCCTCTGTCTTTCCTTTCTTCTTCAACTTCTCTTCTGTATCTTCCTTTTGTTTCTCTCTGCAAGAAGAGGAATTGGGTTAGGAAAAAGGAACGATGGAGAATGCTGATCTAAATTGCTTCACATCTTCAAATATGTGGAGAGAAAATGATGGGGCGTGGGAAGGGAATGAAGCCCTGTGGGTTTTCTTTTCCAGATGACTTTCCTTCCTTCTGGCTCATGACTGAACAAGATATGAGAGAATAAGAACTGCTGGAGATTTTGGCAAATATTGAAAAGGAGAACATGCAACTACAATTATTCAGAGAATAAGAAGCAAATGCTAAAGAAAAAATAAACCCCACACATACAGACTATGGTCTCTTTCCAGAGGGAGAAGGTTTTATTCGTTCTGAATTAAATGTGTTTATTTTTCCCATTAATTCAAGTGTAGATTTCATATAAAGTTCACAAATACCTATGTCAAATACAGTGAGGAACACCAGCTGAGAGGCATCAGAAAGCATTCTTTTATTACAAGAGAGAAGACACGTGGTTCTGTTTCCTGAAGGATGACAAAGAACCAGAATGAGATGAAAAGCACAACCGTAACACTGCAACTAACAATGTTAAAATGTTCTTGCCTACACACCAGGAGGCACCACCATGAATTTCTTGTTTACACTGATTTCTGCACGGAAAATAGATTAAAACGGACCCTGGAACTGTGCGCTGCTGTCTGGAACAAGGTTAATTTCTAGTTCAGAAGAAAGGACCTTCATGATAAAAAGAGAGTACATGAGCATGCCTGGGTTTGGTCCCACAGAAGATCAGCTGTCCTCCAGGTACTGAAGCAGAAGGCACCATGCTGCAGCTGCCCACAGAGATCCATGTTCCCTTCTGAAATGGCTCACACGTTCCCTCCTCATCACCCTTGCACAAACCAGCACAGCCACGAGAACTGCAAACCCCCCAGCAGTGAACACAAGCACAGAAAGTATTCATTTAAACATAAGCTGTTCTTGAGACGTCCTTTTCAGGGGTTTGTTTTCTTACTTGTGACCTTTGGGAAGGAAGGACACACTCAAAACCTCAGTCACTGTTTGCAGAGGTGAGACCATCCGTGCAATAAACACAGCACACGTACCTGATTATTTGCCTTCACCAAATGCATCAGAGAAAACAATTTGGGTTTTTTTTAACTCATTTAAAATGGAGGTAATCTTTCACTGGGAGAAGAGTTTTCCATAGGAACAGGGTTTGCACTTTGTGACGTTTTCAGAAAGACCTAAGAAATAACATAAAATAACAACTATTTCTGCCTCCTGCCAGGCTTGTTGGAGTATTTTAAAACAGCTTTGCTAAAATAAACCAACTTTTTTTTTTTCCCCGAACAGATTTGCCACCAGGGAACCAAATCCTACCCTTATAAGGCTACAGCAAAACAAAAGTCCCGAAGAAAGTACAAAATCTAGTCCATTTTTTAACTCAAGAAACAGGAATATTAAGACACAACAGGTTTAAAATCCATTTCTTCAGAATTAGCAATAGTCAGATACTTCAGAAAATAATGTTCCCAAAGATCACCTTGTGGTCCTTCACTCCTCTCCATGTGGTGATAATGTTAAACTATTAGAGCTACCAAGCTAAAGAAGATTTTAAGTCCACAGCCAGGATTCAGACTTTACCCACAGCAATGTTTTATACACACAGACATGATTACTTTTACCATTAAAGAAACCAAAACTGTTATGGCAAAGAAGAAATTATTTAAACAACTTTGCCTACAAGCACTGATTCTGCCTTGGTATTAAAAACCCAATATACACAGAGAAAGGAAAACCCCTTAGTGTTAAACACTGGAAAAAGACCTTAAAAATAATGAACTCTAAAATAGTTCACAATAATCTCAAATAATGTCTGTGCTAAGCTAACACAGAAATCAAACTATTTGGAAAAAAAAAATAATCAATGTTAAAGATTAGTGTTTCAGTTCTCTCAGAAGCAGGACAAATTGCAGGGAAAAAAGGTTGAAAAGCCAAGGGGTTTTTTTTTTCCATTTTACCAAGTTTCTACTGTGGACCTTATCCTATTTGTGAAGTTGCATGAGAAGCAAATCACTCCAAAGCTGAGCTGAACCTCACCCAAGGTTAAGCAGACACCAAACACAGACCACTTCCTTTGGGTTCTTGGTATCAAAACAAAATATTACCAAACTACGCAGCTACAAAGGATGCTGCTACAGCAGCTCGTACGAGCAGTTCCATGGCTGATGTCTGCAGTGTTCCAAGTCTGGGTAAGTAAACTTTAAAGGATCTGGAGAGAAAAAGTTATTTTCATCCTCTTTTCTCATTATCCGACACTACGAGTTGAGTTGTAGAAGAGATTTTACTGTAGCACATACAAAAGCAGCGGCACACCAGTGAGCACTTCATTAATTAAAAGCCAGAAAAGGAAGTTTGCTAAACGAAGCAAATGTTCTTATCACTCCTATCTATATTCATTAAAACTGACAGGAAACCAAATATCACCATCTGTCTACTTGCAATAAAGACACTAAAAACAGCTCTGGGGTAGAAGAATAATACAAAGTATAAAACTGCAGTTTTTCAAGTTTCAGTTTTAAATGGACAAGAGAGAAACTGATGTCAGACGAGGGAGAATGAAGGATGACAAGGAGCTAGTAGATGAGACTGAAAAAAGAAATTACATGCTTTAGAATATGAAGTCCCTTTGAAATCTCAGAAAACAACCAACAAACTCAAGTTTGCACTGTCTTTTTCATTCCGATCAATGGGTCTGGTCTGGGAAAAGCCAAGTGTTGCAATGACAGCTGATTTGCCTATTTAGAAATAGCTGCTATCAAAAAACAGTCAGAAAATTGTATTATGCAATATAAACTGCAAATTTTTAATGGTCAAGCAAGTCCCAGGAAACACTTGTGTTTTATTGTATCCTGATGCACTCTCTTCAGATTTACAAGAGCTCATTCTTTTAATTATTCCTATATTTGGATTTTGCTTACAAATCAGCAACTTGGTATGAAATTGAGTAAGATTTGATCAAAGGAAAGGATGGCAGAGGTGCTAACTTAGCTCTGAAAAAAAAATATCAGGGCTCACACCAGCAGTGGAGGAGGTCAACCGAAGGTCACTGACTTAAGGTACTTTCCAGCATTTATACAATTCTTACCTTCTAGTAATCACCTTTCTTTTTTTTTTTTTTTTTTTTTTTGCACAGCAGGGGAGAGGAAAGAAAAAACAAATAGTTGGTAATAAGATATTTAATGACAGAAATGAAAATAAACTACTGCTCACACTCTCAAGAGCACAGCTCCCTGTCGTTAATTCTGCACCATTCCCCAGCTGCATTTTGCATAGCAATGAAAAGCACTTCCAGTTCCTCTCAATGCTGCATAAAATATTAGCTCCACAGTCACAGTTTTTAAGACTAAATAAGGTTAAAGTAATTTAAGGCTGAGATAAACATAAAAAAAAAAAAAGGAAAAGAAAATTCATTGTTAAAAGTCTCCCAGCCCCCTGTGGTGCCGAGGTACCGGAGCACATATGGTGCAGAGCAGATCCCTGGGACCTACAGGAAGCACAAATGGGGTCAGGAGAGGAGGAGCAAGAGAGTTCAAGACTAAATCTAAGCCTTATTAATTTATTGATTTTTATTATTATGTTTCTCCAGGATGGTTCTTTTTTTATTATTATTTTCTGTCCTAAAACAATAATTCATACCTCGAAAAAAGGATCTCATTAATATTCTATGAGAATGCTTTTTTAGCCTCAATACAATTACAGCAGAGCAATTATTATTCTTCTGTTAATACTTTAACAATACTAACAGAACTATTAGCAGCTCAGCATAATGAGGCACTTGTGAAACAGAATTCTAGGGCTACTTCTGTTTACTAAAAAAACCACAACAGAATTACACAAGTTAAATAAAATCTGAGTGTAAAAAAGTCACTAAAAACTGATGTGCAAATGTGCCATCAGATTCCTCCTTGATTCTGTGGAATCTCCTTTTGAAAGTCAAGTCAATCCTGTAAGGATATAGGAAAAGCAAATATTTTTAAGTGAAGGTTGAAATTCAAGAGTAAATTTTCTTTTACGTTCAATATATAACAGAGACATCTATTTGTGCATGCCAGTGAAATCACTGGGATGCTTACAAAGGATCTGGCAGGCAAACATGGAGATATGTAACAGAAAATACAAAACCATCTATAAAAAAGTCCTGAGTGTGCTGTAAAAATGCATCCAGGCTGATTCTCGAGAATATTTGTTTATTCTAAGGTGGTTATACAGCATCTAAACCACACAAGAAACATTTCTGCGAGGGGAGGGAAAAGTCAGTGTTGACATGTTACCTTTATAAACCTTTTAATAAAAAGCTGCATAGTAAGGGCAACAAGTACAACCCAGACTATTAGATTTTGTAAAATTTTGTTTAATATATGCCTTGTTAGACCTGCTATTTTCCTACTGAGAGTAGTAACTGTGGAAGTGGCATATAAAATTATTTGCTAACAGAAAACAAACAAATACTCAGGTTCTTCAGGACCATGGATAATCAGTGGAAAAGGTGAAATCCTCTGGCAAAAAGAGAAAGCACAATTCACTCCTGTAGTCCTCCTGTCCACAGCTGCCACAGTAAGAGCATGCAAATCAAAGCATCTTCCACAGCACATATTGGAGAAAACCAGCCCCAGACTCCAGGCTCCTTGGATTTGAGAATGCCAGGCTGGGAAAAGCCTTCTTGGGAACTGAGAAAGATCCATTTCCTGCAATCCTGTTAAAAAGGTAAATGAAGCTGGATCCTGAAACAGGGTGTCTTAGTCCTTCCCATTCCCATACTGGTGAAGCTGCTTCTGCACTGTTTTCCTTTAATTATGGGAAACATTGTTCTAACATCATATACACATAATACTACCAATATTATTAATTGATGTTTATTTATATACATATATATGAAAACATCAACTTATTAAAGACCAGTATGGGGTTTTTTTAATCTTGTACCCACCTTGTCTTTTGAGCTGATAAATCCCCTTTACCTGGTCTCTACCCACAGCTGAAGCTGTCACTTTTTCTGGTTGTACCAACCCTCCTTGCTCACAGGATTACATAAACTGTGTTTAAATTCAAGATGGGTTTTACCCTTTTGTATTCAAATCCATCCTCTTCTGTTCATCCTATAGCATACAATAAACCCTGGATTTGTCAGGTTTGATCCTAGCTTGCAGTATGACTTATTTTGGTGAGCAGTTTGCTTCAACACCTCCTCATCCATTCCAACACCTCCTGGATATTATTGTTGAATTTGCTTTAGATAGTCAATAACAGTTTTCCATACACCTTTGTAAAAGCTTCCCTAAAAATCTACTTTTAAGTGACTGCTCCAGTGACAATATCCCAGTCACAACGCCCTCGTGTCTTTTATTTAAAGTACAGCACCGTCACCTCTGCACACCAGTGATGTAAGTAAGGCTTGTCACGCTTTTGCTCTAGAGCATTAAAAAACCTGACCCAAAACCAAGTCCATCCTAAGTGTACCTTTTAATCCACACAAAGCCAAAATAATTTATTACTATTTACATTGCTTTAATAGCTTTTTTGAGTTGCTATTTAGATGGTCTTAGTAGTAATGACTGCAGCAAGCTGGAACAGGTTCGCCACAAAATAGAACCCAGGGCAGCACTAAAAATAAAACCTGGGTGTCTTGAAGCCTGGGAAAAATACAGCAATGCTCCAAGGGTGTCAGTACAAACCTGCAAAACAAATTTTCTACACAGACAGCATTTCTTATTCATCAATTTGAATGGACAGATATTTACAGACAGAGAATAATTCAGTTTCTACAGGTTTCTTAGACACTCCCATCATCACACTCCCCTTTCCCATGTGTTTCTTCTCCCACACCTAATTTGTCTGCCCTCTACCATCTTTCTTGCCTTGAACCAGGCTCGAGCCAACTATTTCTCCATGTCCTGGTTTTGCCTTTGTCTCCCCCATGCCCAAATGATGTGATGCAGGTGATGGCTGAGCCTGCCAGGCAAGGCCTCAGTAAGCTCCACTGCAGGAGGGTCTCACCTTTTGGGTAGCAAGCCAATCTTTTTCTGCCATTCCTTTACACTACGCAGTAATTATAGTCCCTTTTTTCCCCTTTTCCCAGCCTATCCCATTACTTCTCTCTCTTTTACATACTATCCATTACTTTTCAAGGATTTTTTTCCTTTTTTTTATCATCCTAGCACTACCATGGTCTTTAAGACAAAGCTGAGGCTGGTAAATGTCTCACACCTGTCATTTCAGTATTATGATTAGGATACAGATTCTGAAAATCCTGATGCCACCATAAAACTGGTAAACTAAGAAATCTCACCTTAGATTCCATCACTTTATCACTGTTCTTGTATGCTTCCCTAGATACCTGCTGATCACCATCAGAGACAGGATATTGAATTGTAAGTGCTTGCTCTGAGTCAGAACAGCTGTTCTTACAGATTTATTGCTAAAACAACATGGGTTCTGCCAGACCTAAGAAAACCAGCAAGAAATAAAGTTACAGACTTATATTTTGCTAAAGTAGCTCTGGTATTTGGAAATTCCCTTTCTCTGTCTGTTAGACTGCTATGCAAAGAGAGTTAATTCTGGTAAAGATTAACACATATGTAAAGTAATCCAGATGATTTATTCGATTGTGATAGGAAACATTTAGATACAAAATTCAGCACAAAATACTTTTCAGCTTCTGAGAAATATGGGTGAAACTACTTTGAACATGGTGACGTTAAGAGCATCGTCCTTATTAACATAAGAAAGAAAAACGATTTGTTGGAAACACTCGCCATTTGAGGTACTCCATACTGTTTTCCAATGTTATTTTCCCAGAGACACCAAGAATGGTTTGGTTTTGTGGTTTGGGTGGGGTGGGGGAGAAGATTGTTGATGTTTTGGGAAAACCTACTAAAGCTTGCTTTGCTTGTTTGCTGATCCTCAGCTACAGCAGTAAGAGGCTGCTAGCAGACCTAACTTCAAAAGCAAGCTGCTATTTTATCTATTCAACCTAGAATTAAAAAGCTTTTTTAAAAAAAAAATTATAAAGCAAGCAAACAAACAAAATTTTAAAAATATTCCAAATAAACAGCAGAAGGTTTCCTCAATGGCAAAGTCCCAAGCCCACTTAGCCAAACCCTTCCAAACACATACCCACCCTTGGATTTCAGATCCAAGTTAAACTCCACTCCCCACCAGTCTTATCTTGCCAGATTCAGAAGAGGAGGAAAACATCCAGAGGACTCCAGCACAGGAAGAGCACGGACACACACGGCAGCACTCCCAGGGGCTGCTCTGCAGTTGGATTTTATTAAGGAATGCACATGCTTCTGCACTCCAGTCAGAAATATTATGGGGCTTCAGCACATGAACAGTAACTCAACAACCCCTTTTCCTTGTCTGTATCATAAAATAAACACAGTCTCTGAGATGGACTACATGGATTTATGTCCTTTTGAAAAAAACTTAGTAATTGGAGAGGGAAAAAATAAAACCACAAGTAAAGTGAACGGTTCTAAATGTGAAGTAAATAGTTTTGAAAGCAATGTTCTCATCTGGGAGTATTGCAACAGATGTTTATCATGAGCTACTGCAACAGTTAATCCAACTCCCAGCCAGATTACCTCTTTGCCTTTGGAAACAAGCCTTTTTTCCATGGGCAACTTACAGAAAACAAGGGGATGTGCCAGAACTGACAGCAAGCAGTTAACTGAATGAAGCAGGAGGGGAAAAAAAAGCCATAAAGCCCAACCAAATGAACTGATATCCGGCCCAAAAGTCTTAGATGAACAGGTGTATGTGTGGGTGGATTTGGAAGGAAAAAAATAAAGAAAAAAACATTTAAACAAAGCCTTCATTGACATTCTGGTCACTGAAGTGGGTACACAAAAAATAAGCCAAACAATATTTTGGAACAATTCAGCAAATAATGGATTTTATTTTATTTTAGGAGAGGATAGAAAATATGATTGTTGAACTTGGGTTTCAAAATGTGGTGCTAATAAGCCACAGTAACAACTCATAGGTTATTCTAGTCCAACATATTCTGAGGAAGAATGAAAAAAGGAAGGTACGTAACTATGTATGCAATCTGGTATTTACTCCTTAAAGATACAAAAGCAGATCGCAATTTCAAGCATCATTATTTA